ATTTTTATTTGGAAACAGCTGATGTGGAATCTGGTTTGGACCAACCCAGTGCAGGACAGGGTTCACCTCCAATCTAGCAGCTGCCAGAGAGGAAAGGAGGAACTGCTGAGAGGGAAGCGTGGAGGTGTGCTGCACATGATCACCTCGTGACTCCTTCTCCCAGCCAAATGGAGAAGGTTACCTTTGCTGGAGCAGACTTTTTACTTAAGACATGATAAAAAAAAAGCCAAACAAGCTTGAAGGGAAGAAACCTTTACAATCCATCCCAGGTTTCACTCACATTTCCTACTAAGCATACAACAAAGAACAGATCACTCTTACAAGTAGGATCACTGCAGAAAGAACATTTTTCAGTGGACCAATAAAGAAGCTGCCCCGGTAAAAAGTGGATTGGCTGCATTTATAGCATACTGAAGTTTATACCAGCAGCTTAATGCAAATTTCTGTCCCTAATGGTTGTACTTAAACGAATTTTACTAGGAAGATATGGAGCATAACTCAGCTCCAGCTGCTGCTAAGAGAAAGAAAAATTATTTCTGCAAGAAATGCAGAAATAATAAGAATGAAAACAAAGGACAATGATACTTATTTTTTTCCAAAATAATAGCATTAAGGTATTTTATAAACCTACTACAGCAAGACATCTTACATTCTGAAATTTCTTCAACTTTGGAACTGAGTTGCAAAAACCTACAGGTATTTCCTAATCTTAAACGTAAATATTTGCTCAATAACATGATTTGACTTTCATTAGACTATCATACAATCCTGTTGATGCTAAATAGATATCTATTCCTACTGAAGCTGCTTCCAAATTAGGAGGAATGACCTCATCCAGAAGTATTAAAACTGCTATCTGTATGTTATATATTTTATACTTAAATTAATTTTTAAAAAGCTCAGCTGGCTGTGTTAATTAGCTAATCACACACCTGCTCAGTTTAGGTTTCAAGCTGGAAATCTGTAAACATGACAAGTGTTAAATTCTGCAGGCAATGCTGCTCAAGTACAAGGGTAGTCCTGTGTGAGCAGCTGCTCCACAGGGGCTTGTCTGACTGTAAGACTGCTTCCACTTGCAAATTTTCGTGGCTGGGGTAATATACAACAAAAGAAATAAACCTGCAACAGAAATATCTGGAAATGAGAATTTCAAATATCTTATTAATGTAAACTGTTGACCTCAGAGGACAGTTTTGTTTCTAGGGGAAGGGGTATGTCTATGTTTTAATATACAGTATCTCTTAGTTATGTCTAAGACTGTAACTAACTGGAAGGAGAATTTTATTTGCTTTTTTTTTTCTTTTTTGTGAGAGGTGATTTTTCAGACAACAAAGTTTGTCAGCTTCAAGACAAAGACAATCTCCTATAAATGCAGACTTACAAAAAGAAACCTTCTGCACAAAACCCCTGTTCTTTCTAAGGCAACAGTCAGAAAACGAACATGGCACACCTTACTGCTAGATCAGGCCTCCAAGTATTTGCGACTAGGAATATGAGACATTGCTGCCTTTCTCTCAGTTCAGTGGGACTTCTCAAACACTTCCAAAAATCATAGTGCTATTCAAGCAGACAAAGAATTCCAAAGCCTTATTTCTCTTTAGTGAAAGTCAATAACTGCAGTGTATATTATCATACTGAATGATATTAACCCTTGTGATACCTAGACACATGAAATTGACTATTTGCCTTAGTTTTATGATTGTTGGTCAATCTACCAAAAAATCCAAAAACCAAACCAAAACACACAAAAAAACCCAACAAATCAACAACTTTCCAGTGGCAAATGTTCAAAAAACTAAAGAATTTAGAATGGACTCACTGTAAACAAATAATTAAGCACAACTTTTTTAGATTGAAGAATACTTGAAAGCAGGTGAGGGGTTGTTCATGCATATTTTCTGTTCCTTACTTTAAATAGAAAAACTAGTTTCAGAACGAATAGTCTAGTGAAACAACTAAAAAATCCTTGCAGCAAACTTTACATTTATTTTCATCTTTTTCAATTCACCAACAGAGTTTCATGACCAATTTCAAAAGAAAATATTTCAGGAAGACAATTTTTGTGTGTTTCCTGCAATTTTCTACAAAAACATGCTCTAAAGAATAGTTAAAACTTGTTGGTATTCACCAGCAAATTAAGCAATCTTAGAAATGTGTAGAACACTACAAGAAAGAAGAACTTAAGTATAAGTATGTTTGTTACTATAGGATTTCACTTGAAACATGAGGAGATTTAAACCTTTTCCTCTTCATTAGATCTGAAAAGCAAGCATGTTGCTTTTCAAATGAATCTGCAGATGGGTGCACCACTAAAAATTCCTGTCTGGAGCTGCTATGAAATACAAGCAGACTGTAGGAAAGATTTTATTAATTTTATGCTCTTGGATGAGTAAGAGACATTTCAAGTGTTAAAGCAGAGTAGCCATTAAGATTACAGTTGAGACATGATTAATTTTCCCCTTGCTGTCACCTGTGCTAGTCTGTCACCTTTCCCTCTGACCTATATCTATTCTCATTTCCTCAGCACTCTGTGGACCAAATTTGTATTGGTGACATCAGTGATGCTGAGATCAGAAATTGGCTCCTTGCCTCTGTTTTTCCCTTGCCTTCCCTTTAATTTCCCTTTCCCTGTGCTTTTCTTCAAAGATGCTTTGCTGCAGCTCTCAGTGCTTTGCAGGTATCCTTGACTACAGCTGACATTCCCATTCTCTGGCCAGCTGGAGCAGGTCTGGATATAATCCAGATCAAAAGCAGGTGGCAAATCAGCAAACGAGCAACTTGTTGGCACACAACAGAAGTGACTAAGTCACTACTGGGTCCCCTCTTTTCAGTCTTAAATTTGGCCAAAAAGTAGTTATGAGTGGTGGATCTTGAAGAAAGTGGATTGTGAATCATACTGCAAAAACACCCCCAAACCCCACAACCACAAAATGGCTCTTTTGGAACTGAACAGTCACAGACACCAGCCAGCATCCAGCTAGCAGGCAAGCCAGCAAGGCCTAATACAGCAGCACACTTGCAATGTGCTTTGTGAAGAGGGCACCAAAATAACTTTGTAACGCAAAAATCTATGATTGGAAGGATAGCAGAACTTCTATGGTATTAGGAAAAAAACTGCAAAGTATTTTAGCAAACCTTTGAAGATATTAATTGCACAATAATATAACTGTTGCATGAGATTTCTAATATATAACCAATCTGGCATAGGTTCTAGGAGCAAACAAAGCAGCCATGTGCACAGTGATTTGAACATGTTTACAAACCCTGCTTGTATTTGAAATCAAAGTACATCCTCCTACAAACACTTCCACCTCATGAAGTTACTCAGCAAATCGTTACAAGGGCAAGTTACTCAACAAATCGTTATAAGTCACTATTTATTTTCACTATCTCTTTTTGGACAGCTTGTTTTCTAAAGAATTTTTACTAAAGAAAACCCAAATTTAAAACTACAAGTATTTAAACCTACCTGTCAAAATTCTTGTTGACCATGGTTATTTTACAGAATGCCTTCAAAATATCCCTCTTCTTCCTATCAAATAATTAATGCAAATTATCAAGCTGAAAGAGGAAATTCACTCTCAACATGAATTCAACATTTCTGCCACCTAGATCATTGGATAAAAAGTTGACCTCTATGTACTGTCCATGTGTCTACCACTAATTTATTCTTTCTTTCAGGGAAATTGCATGCTGTCTTTGTGCTTTCAAAGTGGAGATTATCTAACTTTCAAGAATTTAGGTGTTTGGCCAAATTACATTTTCAGCGCAAGAATATTATTCTCCACAGTGTAATTGTAGATGTAAGGAACTACTGGGGGAGAAAATGCACCATCATGGCATGCTTAGCTAGAAATTCTACCATCACGTGTTAACATGGCTCCATATGCCAGGAGTACATATAAAGAAGGCCAGTATAAGGGATCTGAACAGGAGTATCAATACAGTCTACTCAGTTTAGCTTCCAATGCAATTTAATGCACTTTCTTTAAGCCAAGGTACAAAAAAACCCCAGTGAAAGTAGTATTTGTCAGGACAAGAAAATATGGTAGCTATGTGCAGCATAGTTCCAGAATGCTTTGGCAGCAAATAATTTGCTGTTATCTGAGTTAAAAATAAAATAATTTCCAAAGAGGAACAAACCCAGATTAACACATGTACAAAGTAGGAAAGGTTCAATCTATGACCTTTCAAGTCATCTACGCTAACACCTTTGCCAATTTTTTTGCCAATTTGAAACCAATGCTTTGATTTTCCAGAGGGCCTGTGGCAAAGCCTGACCATTAAATAAAATCTTCAACATAACTGCAGACCTCCACTCCTAAACTGATGTGCAGGTTGTATGGTCTGTTGCATTGCTTGTGGTAGCTATCACAATCACAGTCCTTGTAACAGATTTTCTACTCACCAGTGTCTGCTAATAGCCAGGCTATTTCTTGAGTAAAATTACACAACAACATAATCCTTGAAATGAATAAGCTATGCCTAGTAAAAAGCACTTTCATAATGACTGAAATTTGAGATCTCTGAAGGTGGATTGCCTTAACCCTCAAAAGCCTCTCCACAATTGCAGCAGCATTAACGCACTTGTTTCTTAAATTGTTATAACACTCCTTTAACCATAACAAAAAATAATAGCGGATATGAGCCACAGTATCACGATAAAAATGTTACTTGTTTACAATCTCTACTAAGTCTTCTTTATCCCTAAGATCATCCTCTAACCAACTACAATCATAATTGCTTCTGTGTGAAGTTGCTTATACAGGGTGTTCCAAGTACGCCTATCAGATGAAACAAAGCATAGAAGTTAAAGTTATACGCTAGCTACCTGAAAAACCTGCACCAGCCATGAGGAGGCAAAAGAACTGGCCCAGTCAAATGTGCTTCCCACTAACTGCCAGGAACCTCCATTTTACATTCCTTGGCCTGAATATTTTCCCATAATTTAGTTTTAACTTGGTTTGGTTCTTATTCTCATTTTGACTTTTCTCTTACTCCTACCTTCTCTTGTGCTTCCTCAGCTCCTCTCTCATGCAAGAAAAAGGCCATTTTTCTTCTAGGCAGACCATGTACTCCAGCTAGGAACACAGACGCAATTAATCAAGTTTCATGATTAATTTTAAGGCAGACTTACAAAAAAACAAATAAACAAACAAACAAAAATATGGACAAACCCCCCACAAAACAAATAAAAAACCCCATCCGCTCTAACCCACAGGAAATAGGTATAGGAAAAAGAATAGGAATGTAGAAGGACCAATATTTAGGGGGATCCTTCATTCTTCAAAGCAGCCAAAATTTTGCATGTTTAATGGGTGATGTATAGGAATCAAGGAATAGCAATGGATACATCAATGATGCTGATAATGGAGCCTCATCCCTAGACTTGCCAGAATAACACAGTTTCACATCCTGTCAATGTTCTCTGTGGATGCTGACTATGTAGCAATGAAACCCAGTGTATTTGAGTTATTCTCCAACAGTCCACAAGTGTTTGATAGGTGGGCTGGAATGACAACTGCTGCTATTGCCCTTACTCATGCATAAGGGTCCAACTCCTTTATTTAGAAATTCTATGCTGTGACAAACACAAGTGTTGCAGGCCATTTCCCCAGGCAACAAGACTAGCTAGAAGTCTGCCCAACTAGCCAATCAGTTTCTAAGAGGACAATTTCTATTTAACTTTTGGGGTGGTTTCTGAATTTAGCATGCTGCTAGTATATTTAGGGTTAACCTTCCAGTTTGGATGTGCCCTGTGCAAGGATTTGTGCCACACCTTTGCTCTCAGGGGTTCTTCTGGAAAGCCCTCCCTCCATGCAGTGGCTTCAGAAACAGACATGCCTGTGCAACCTTTATTTAGATTGCTCTGAACATAGCTCTTTCTAAAATGCAGCCTGTTCAGAGTCTCAAGTGAAAAAAAATAGCTTTTGGCCCAGGCAAAGTAGGAAGCAATTCAGAAGAGCAAACTACCTGCTTTATTTGGGATAAGACCGAAATAATCAGTTGTTTCAGCAACCTATGCAACCTGAAGAGTTGGTTTTGCTTGCTACTTGCATAATCTTGGCTTCTGAGGAAAGAGCTGGAGAGATGCAAGGCAGCAGCAGAAGCAAACAGGATTAACAAAAGCACCAAGTTTTTTTCTTCTCCTGGTTGTCCTACACCATGGCAGAAGTAGCAAACGGTCTCTTGCAAGTCCTCCTCAACAGGCAGGGCAACGGCTGAATGTAGTGGGAGTAATGTGGGAAGAGTTGCTGAAAGAGGGAAGAGACATAACTCTTATCGTTACTTCAAAACAATTTTCCTGTTTCAAGAACCATTATCACCTCTTTCACAAAAAAGACAATTTAAAATAATAAATTCCAAATAATAATAATAATAATAATAATAATAATAATAATAATAATAATAATAATAATAATAATAATAACTTTCTAATTATAAAAAATAGCTTGGTTTGTTTACAGTGGTGCAGGATAATGAATGCTTTGCAAGAGATTTCCATGTGGTCCATACCTGTTTCAGTCCTTACACAACTGCATCTCCAACTAAACTGTTGCTAGCTTGGCGATTATTTTATCATTATATCCCTTACATCTAGGGCTATAATAGCTTATTTTTTGTAACTGATTATATTTGTTTCCTTGTCCCTGGGATTTTCTTACACAGCACTCCAGTAATGGTTTCCAGTTACCTTTTAAATGTCACTTTATTTGGTCAGTGGAGGGATGGTTGTCTTACTACTCTTAATCTGCTTGCATCTATCCACTCACAAATTTGTTGTCTTCCTTGTTAATTATTCTGAATGCATCCAGTCTTAGAAGAGGTTCAGTAGTTCACCAGCAGAATTCAGGTTTTCTGTGTTTTTGGAAAGACCCCTGAGAAAGTTTAATACAATTATGAATCTGTGCTGCTTACCACACATACTAACATTCCTGAACCTAAATGTCAACATACACTTATACCCAGGCATAACACACTGACAGCCTGCTTTGCTCGATAATTTATTCACAATACTGGGCCTGGTGAAAAGGCAGATGGCAGTCAGGGGCAAAAGGTATACAGCCATTGTCCTTAGTGATATTGTTAGCACATATTAGAATGCATGAAGGCAAGAGTGAGGCAGAGGATTGTACCCCTGACACACTTAGAAAAATCAATTTGCCCTGCTAAATAAGAAGTAAATACAATGGGCCAATAAATAATACAGGAAACAATTGACAAAATTATAAGCACTATCGACAATATAATATTAACAACAATGTATCAACCTAGTTTCATCATACAGAATATTAATATCAAGCCCTTTGTAACTAAGGCCTGGATATTTACTTAGCTTATTGGCCTCCCTGGAATGGAATCATTCTGCTTTCCAAACTTCTAATCAGAGATTACTCATTTAAATGCATCCCTTTACATTTACTGAAATTAGCAAGTGCACTAGAGTTAAACCCCTATTAGACAAACACCTCTCCAGTACAAATCCACAGTTGCATGATGGCTTATTTTCCTTGATATTTTCATCTTTTATCCTGAAAGAATTAACTCTCAGGTATTAAATTTATCTACTTTCTTCCAGATACTACTAGGTTATGATTTAGTTGAATATTTCTCCTTATTGTCAAATATTAATATTCTTCAAGAACTCTTATGTCATTTAAGACACTTTATAACACCTCTATAACTAGATAGGTAACAAGAGATGACAACTTTTTGCCAGATTCCCACTCTCTGCTGCAGGGATTAACCTGACAGTTGTTTTGCTCTATTTTGTTATTACTCTGAGCATGTCATTCTATACAAATCTTATAGTGGAAAAAGTCCTCATTAATTTTGCAGAAAAGTCCCAGATATTTTCAGTAAGTTGCAAATTTTCAGAAATTCAGAATGGCTGGTTAACTGCATGCGTTTTATACACTCTAGAGGAAGTGAAAGTTGGAAAAAAATTTTGTTTCGTGACAATTGATAACAGAAATATTTGAAAACCATTGATAAATTCTGTGCTACAAGCTTCTAACTCCTCTGAGTATCTTATCAGAAACAGATTTTAACACTGTTTAAAAGTAGTATCCAATTCTGCTCCTTTAGTTACAAAAAGCATTAAAAATAAAGTTTATAGCCCTAACTTTTTTCATTACTAAGAGTTTTTCATTTAAAAAGAATTCTGATTATTCTTTATTTTAGGAAAATAATTGAAAACCATGAGGCTAGATAGATCTATATTTGAGACAGAGGCCTTGAGACTGATGAAGGCTTTTAAACATCCTAAAAAAAAAAAAAAAAAGTCTTGTGTGGACAAGAACACAATGTTTTGATTGTGATAACAGTCTTACACATACATTATATTCCACCTGAGTATTAAAGAGTGTATGGCAAAGGATACAGGGCTCTGACTCATAAGCATTGCAGCACACTATTGCAGCACTTAGACATTACTAACACACCATTCTGCTCCTACCAGCCAGGACAATGGAGTGTCCCAAGATATAAAGTCTCTTCAATTGGCTAAATTTTCTCTTCATGGAAAGAACAGGGTGACTTTGTGAAGTTGGGACTGACAGTCTCCATATCCCTAGACATCAACAAAGCCCCACAGCAAAAGCCACTGCATGGTTTTGGCTTAAGAAGCAGTGCCATACCCACACTTCAGCTATCACAGGTTAAACTGGAACATCACCGTCAAACATAGACCCGGTAGTTTAATCTCCACAAACATTTAAGAATCTAATAGACCAATTCCAGGAATATGTTTTATTATTTATGGGAGAGGAAGCCTACCCAAGGGGGAGTGTCCTATTAAAATATTTTATTTCAAACTACTAAAATTTCTGTCAGAGCTGTAATGAGAGAAGCACTATTTGAGCCTAGTAGAATCTTGAAGAGTTTAGTAATTTTTCATAGGAGATCTCTAGCAAAGCCAGTGAGAATAATCTTTGCTAAGCCTCAAAATTTCATCTACTGACAGACATTTTTTTCTGTGTTTATACATAAGTCTCCGAAAGTATAAAGATTTTTCCAAGGTATGAAGACAGTACACAACTACAGCTGTTCTGAGAACTTTCTTTGCCAGAGGCTAACTACCTCCTAGCTGTCTCAGCTAACATACCTTTTATTGCACATGACAAACTGGACAGTAAGTATCACCATCACTATCCTATCGAGAGCTGTCAAGCACATGATTGCGAGCTAACTCAAGTACATTACACAGCTAGATTAAAATATCATGTATTAAAACAATGCTTTTTAACTGCCATTAAGTTTAACATGCACAGGTCACTGAACAAGATGGCAAAGGCCAAACAGCCTCTAGCTCTCAGACAGACAGCAGGCAAAGCTGCTGCAACAATGAACACAACACTCTTGCAAGCTAACTAGCAGAATTTATATGGAATAAAGTAGGAAACATGTAAAGAGGCTGAAAAACAATGATTTAGAAATCATTGGGATTTCTAAAAGGAACACAGATATCTTCGTAACAGAGAAATGTTTCTGGCTAAGCTAGACCATGTGAACTTACAATTTCTTCACAGTTATTAATCCCTTGTATGATATCCTGTTTATGACTGGATGATTTTTTTCTGGAATCACCTTTTTGTTGGATTAAAAGTTGCCTTCACCTATCACATTTCTTGTGAAGAATGAAGTTCTATGGAACATGTCAAAATAGTCTGAAGCAGCATTACTTTGCCAAAATGCAATGGGTTGGTTCATATCATAGAATCATAAAATGGCCCGGGTTGAAATGAGCCTTAAAAATTATCTAATTCCAACTCCTGCCATGGGCAGCAACAACCTTCACTAGACCAGGTTGCTCATCCAAACTCACCTTGAACACTTCCAGTGAAGGGACATCAACAGCTACTGCAGGCAACCTGTTCTAATGCCTCACTATGTTCACAAGAAGGAATTTCTTCCTAGTAGCTAATCTAAACCTCCTGTCTTTCAGTTGGAAACCATTCCCCCTTTCACCTGTCCTTGTAAAAAGTCTTTCTACATCTTTCTTGCAGGCTCCTTTCAGGTACTGGAAGGCTGCAATGAGGTCATTTCAAAGCCTTCTCTTCTCTAGGCTGAACAAACCCAATCCTCTCAGCCTTTCCTAGCAGAAGAGGCGCTCCATCCCTCTATCAGCTTAGTGGCCTCCTCTGGACTCACTCCAACAGGTCCATGTCATTCCTGTGCTGGGACCCCAGAGCTGATGCAGCACTGCAGGTGGGGTCTCACCAGAGCAGAGCAGAGGGGGAGAGCTTCTTCCTGCTAACCACACTACTTTGCATACAGGCCAGTACACATTTGGCCTTCTGGGATGTAGAGTCATGTCCAGCACACCCAATTAACTTTACCAGTCAAAATTAAGCTGATTTATCTGAATTTCTGTGTTAAAAGTGGTAATATGAATAGTTGTGTAAGCAGACTGCTAGAAGCAGTGAGCAATGTAAAAAACAGTTGCAGAAAGCTGACATTTACTTCTTCCATTAGCATTACTGAATGGCCTGTCCTGTGCACCATCTCCTGATGAATGATTTATTTTGGCTTCAAGATCAGTTGTTCAAAGCTAAACAGAAGCAAACTATTATTATATCCTAACCAGAGTGTGAACACTAATTTAGAAAGAGTCTGCATATTGACAAGACCAGCTGAAAACAAAACTTGACATCTTAAATTGCATACCTTTCTTCTTGAGTAGCTGTTTTTCATGTTCATGCAACTGATTTAGTAAGGAAGAAGTATAAACAGAAAATAAAAATATCTCCAGAGTCCTACTTACCTATAGCAGTTAGCAATGAGCTCATAGGGGACCACAGACAGAACACCCTTAAGAACACCCTCAAGGCTTTATCTTGTCATTACTCTGCAAGCTGAGTAGCAGCAAAGATGGGTCCAATTTATCCAGGTGTTTGATAGCCTCTAGAAAAACTTACTTATCCCAGATCTACTACATGCCTTTGGTACTTCTGATCAAATTGTGTAACTGAGCAGCTAGCAGTCATTCATCTGGGAAAACTCTGTTATTGTACACAACAAAATTGCCCTTGCACACTGAGAACACATTTAACGAAATACTGAAACAACTCTCTCTTAGTAGACCATTTCCCTCCCCATTTTACTGTTGTTTTCCTTTATCATCATACTCACCAGGCTGATTTTTGATAAAATACATTTCTGAGATATGAAGGCTAATGAGACATTCCAGGACTTGTCTCAGATGTTACACCTTTAGGTAGGAGAGAATCTTACAATATTCTGCTAATTCATGCAGTGCACTGATTTATAAAATTTAGCAGTAAGTTCTAAACATATTCAGTTGTTATTGCATTATGTGAAAACAGGTACCATGACTTAGAAGTTACAAACATATCCTACTGCTCTAGAATTAGAAAAAAAAATATATTGATACAACCTGTGACTTGGTTGTGGATTCACAATCTTGTAATCTGAAAACTACACATGAAACAGGACCTAGAAAAATACTGTGAAAACAAACAAAAAATCTCTACAGTTTCTCTTCAGGGAATGAGAATTAGAGTTTCTTTTTCTGTCTGTGCCTTTTTTTTTTTTTCCTAGTTGCCAGGACAAGAATATCCCCTTTCATATGATGAAGTTAAGTATGACAAAAAACACATTTTAGGGAGGATGAAAGTCCTGTTAACATCAGTTTGCTTTACTTAGATTCCACTGTCTTAAACATGGTTGCATCTGGGCAAAACCACAGTCTGTAGTTCAAGAAGAGAAAGTACTCATAATTGGTTCTCATACATTGTTTAAATGGTGACCAGTAGCTTATAAAAATGAGTATTTTTAAATAGTGTAATTTCACCTTGTAGTCACTGTCTGTAACACTGGCATAAACAGCACTGATGAAGGAAAAGAAATTCTGGAA